TTCCAGTCCCCTATGATGTTGGTACTGACCTTTAAAGCCCTGACATATCTGAGGGACCTCCTTTCCCCATATGTGCCCCACAGAGCTTTGTGCTCAGCAGACCAGCATCTGCTGGTTGTCCCTCGGCCAAAGGACATCTGCTTAACCTTGACTAGAATCAGGGCCTTTTCTGCCCTGGCCCTGACCTGGTGAAACATGCTCCTGCCTGAGGTCAGGGCCCTGCAGGACCTATTACAGTTCTGCAGGGCCTGTAAAATGGAGCTCTTCCACCAGGCTTTTGGGTGATTGTTGGCCTCCCTTGCTGAATCTTTCCATCTTATATGGCCCATCTGAGAAGATCTATAGTATGGTTTATGGCCCAGGTGCTCCAGTTCTGAGAATATTGTATTTGTTAATTACAGTGCCATCTGTTCTCAACTCATATTCTTTGTTTTAACTATTTTAATTATTTATTTTCTGTAACTTTCTATATTTCTGACTGTTGTAATCTGCCCTGAGCCTGCTTGCAGGGAGGGCAGTGTATAAATTTGAAGAAAGAAAGAAAGAAATCCTGCAGTACCAGAATCTTAATGGGGTACAAGCTGAGTTACAAGCAAACTCCACTGATGTACGTGAAATGCACTCCAAAGCCATCCTGAACAGATTTTTTCTTGGAAATACGTCTAATTTCATGTGACTGGGTGCCAAATTAACATGAGATGTTTGTTTAAGGCTGAACATCCTTATTTGGAAGCAAGATCAATTGAAATCAATGGGACAGCCACTCAAAAATATTTAGAATTGGGACACATGGAGGAGCCTCTCTCTTCCTGCTCTTGCAGAACTGTTGAGCACTGCGAGGTGGGTGGGTGGAAGCTGGAGTAGGCAGGTCAAAGGAAAGGTCTCGTGGTCATTCGCAAGAAGGGAAGGGTCAGGTACCACATGGTTGTTGCTCTAGTATAGGTCGAAAGTGTGCATAGTGTGTGAACGATGTCATGTGCTTACCATGCATGTTCAAAGCATGAGCTTCCTATAGAAGGAGCTGAGCACTTCACTTCATTTTTATTCTCTGCTGGTGGCTCATGAAAAGCTGCCGCAGCAGGAGAAACCAATGAGGAAGCCTTCATTTATCACTCCTGTGGCAGCCACTGGCCATCAGTTGACCGCTGCAAGCCCCAGCCCACACATTCCCCGCTGTAGACTGGCCAGTCCACACGTTTCAGTCAGGTTATGAGGCCTAGTGCAATCATTGTACATTGCAAGGCCATTGTTAGCTGCCGCCGCCATAAAATAAGTGGCTACAAAACTGATACTGTTGGCTTAAAGCCCGCAGCTCACCCCTGCCCCCCGGCCTTCCTTCCACAATCCCCCTAGCCCGCCTTACAAGGTTCCTATGAAACTGGGAGGCAGGGAGCTCAGGCTGCGTCACCAGGCAGGGAGCTCAGGCTCCATCACCAGCCTTGGGTCTCGGTGAGAAAGGCGTACTCAAAATAACGGCCGTTAAAAGAAACCCGGGGCCCGATCTTGGCTCCCCGCAGGGAGTTTGTTAGATCGCGCTAACAAAGGACTCGTAGAGTGATTCAGCAAGTGATTCAGCTTTATTTAGAAGTAACGAACAAGCACTAACTCAGTAAGAAACCAGAACAGAAAACAGTGGGAGCTTATGCTCCTTTTAAACATAACCGGGCTAATGTAGCCACGCCTATTTACAAATAACAACCAATGAGATTGCTAGAATAAAGACCAATGGGAGTCTTTCCCTCCTAGGGAATGGTATCGTTCTGATTGGTCGCTGTTACGAAGCGACCAATAGGAAGTTCGTTCAGAGGAGCCCTGGTCTGGCTCGAAGCTTAACATGGGAGTCCTATGAGGTGATTCATGTAATCATTTCAATACATTACAGAGTTGTTGCAAAGCGGCCCAGGAGTGCCCTCTCTCTGGGTTGGGGAAACCCTCCCCCGTCTTCGCCAGGTCTCGATGGGAGGGCCGGCCTCCTCGCTCCTTCCCTCCCCGCTCCCGGTCGCGGCACGACCCCCGCGGCCCTTCCACCCTTTGTGCGCGCGGCCCTGCTTCCCTCCACCTTCGGGCGGCTCGAATGGCAGCTCGCGGCTCCCGCCTCGCCGCTCTCCCTTTGTGTCGCTTCTGGGGGCTAATTGCATTTGTTAATTAGTTGCTAACAGCATCGCAGCGCGGCCCTTGATGGATAAGCAGGCCATTAGCACTCAGGCCTGCAATTCACAGCCCCGGCGGGGCCGGACCGACCCCATGCCGAGCTTAGGCGTGGTAGATTTAGGCTCCGGGGGCACCCAGCCCGCCCTCGCCCCGGCGGCTCTCGCCAGGGACCTGTCCTCTCTCGTTTCCGAGCCACAGCAGCACAGACCCGGGGTGGGGCTGGGGATGAAAGAAACGAATCTAAGTTTGATATATTCCCTATAATGGGGGGAATTGCGAGCTTCCTCGACTGACAGTGTTATTACGGGTGATTAAAATCGGTGTCCTTTCTAGAGAGAGAGAGAAACGCAGGTCCAGCAACTCTTCTCTAGCACAGAACACCTTCGGTTTGATACAAACTGCCCCCCTCCCCCGAACTACGGCTCCCTCGAGTCTGGATGGGTCAGATTTGTGCGTATCTGGGACCACCCAAACTATCGATAAGAGTAATTCGTTGGCGTGAAGTGGGGATGTCAAACGCGCCTGTCTCCGTCCCTTGCCAGTGCAGCCATCTCTTTGCATATCTTGCGCCAAGAAGGATAACTATCCCAGGGATTCCCGAGTGGGACGATTGGTGGGAGGGGAAGCGTCATGAAAGCAGCCTGAAGATACCCACCTCCCTATACTGAGAAGAGCGGCAGTTCCAAACAGAGGACGCCGAAGATGGCTCGGGTGCACTTCCTGGATCCTTTCGATATTTTTTGGAATAATATCTTTGCGCTTACGAATTTGAATGCATGTCCTCCCTCCCACCCTCTCCGAACGACTCCATCTGTTGTCGTTGTTCAGTCGCACAGTCGAGTCCGACTCTTCGCGACCCCATGGGCCACATCAGGCCAGGCCCTCCTGTCTTCCGTCGTGCTCCGGAGTCTGCTCGACCTCATATCATCTATTAGCATATAGTGAAGAGTCGTGTAACGCCTTGGGGCTAACCGATTCCCAGGACGGTCCTATCAGCACTTTCCTGGGAGTAAGCCCCACTGAATAGACCTGAGTAGGATTCTGAACAGATCTGTTTAGGATGGGTGCAATTTCTTGCTTTCGAACTGCTAGGTTGGCAGGAGCTGGAACTAGAGACAGGCGCTCACCCTGTCTTGCGGCACCCGGGTCTTGAACCACTGAACTACTGACCTTCCACAGCCTGCAGTTCAGCATCTTAACCACTTGAGCCACCGCAGTAAGTAAGCCCCACTGAATAGACCTGAGCAGGATTCTGAACAGATCTGTTTAGGATGGGCTCCCTTTGTACTGCTATGAGCGTTGCTGGGGTGAAGTCCACCTCACCAGCTGCATTAATAGGAGTGGGCTACTCTGACAAATATCTGCTTGGAGTTTGATGGCACTGAACCAGGACTAACTTTGTTTTTAAATGGCTTCGTGGCAATCAAGAATCTGTGCAGCCCGATCGTATGAACGTGTACCCGAGGGAACTAAGTCCCAATGGGGTTTACTCCCATGTAGCTCTACAACCTTCGGTGAGAGCCGCAGTGATCAAGAGTGTAGATCATCAGTTACAGCGGAGAGAGCTTCATTAAAGCGGCCCTGAACTACCTGCCTTCCTATACTGAGAGGCAGGGCATGGGATAGCTAAGAGACGTCACATCTAAACCCGCCTGACATAAGCGACTGACTGGCAGCCCTTATTGTGCCTGCTGAAAGACGCATTTGCAAAATAGATACCTAAAGGAAAAAAAAAATGAGTTGGACCCTATTTAAGACAATGCGTTTCCCAAATAAATAGAAGAGCTGCTTAGAAGTGCTATAAACCGCATTTATGGCAGAGGGATCGTGAATCTGACGACCATAGTTCTCTTATTCCTTCTGGTTTATATTTTGGGGAGTCCGAAAATAAATATGAGGAAAAGAGGCAACCTTCTCTCCCTTTTCCATCCATCCGTCCGTCCATCCTTCCTCCCTCTCTGTTCTACCCACTTGCACGTCTTTCCTCGCATCGGTACTTAGACGCGGGTGCTGCTGCTGCCCCCCCTCCCCTTCTCTCCCACAGGCTTTTTGTATGCGACTGACACCGCGCTAGAGCTAGATGGGGGGATGAAGACACGTGGGCAAGCAAAGACACACCCACCACACAAACGCTGCCCAAATCCTGAGGGCTTGAGCGAGGCCGTTCAACAGCTACGAGTCTTCCGAGAATCACAGGTTTGAAATAAACCAGGAGGTCATCTAGCCTCACCCATCCCCAAAGGCAAAAACACCACACACACACCACACAAAGAACACACTGTGCGCTTTCACACACAAACACACGACACATCATCGGAGCCAGCGTTCCAGTGAAAAGAGGGCTGAGGATAGGGAAACGGACGATATCTGCTTTCCCCCTTTACACTTTCCTGCTCTCCAAGCCTTGCATGACTGCCGAAATATTTTATTTCTTTGCGGCGAAAGGGATGAAGGGCATCATCACCACACACGCAGCCGCCCTCCTACACGCGACCGCCTGCCCAACGCCGCTCCGTCCCGCAAGAAGGGCTCCTTTCATACCGTCCCATTCAGCACTGTCCTCTCGCCTACACCGTTATCAAGTGCGTTGCCGCCTATCGAACTGGAGCAGCAGCGTACTCTGGGAGTTGTAGTCTCCGCGGCCTTAGTTTCCTTGCTGCCAGCGGCGAGAAGAAGACTACGCTTCCCAGCTCCCCCCCGCTGCGGGTCTCCCTGTGCCACTGGCAAGCGCGAGCAGTCAATCAGGTGGCGTCACAATGTGTGCAGAGCGCTCGGAGATCCCCGCCCCGTTCCAACTCTCCTTTCCCTCCTCGCAGGGGTGCAGCTAATAATAAGCGCTCGAGGGGGGTTATAAAGGCAGGGCGGGAGGCAAGTGTCATGCGGGAGGCTCGAGTGGCCGAGGAGCAGCGCGGAGGCTTTGGAGCCTGAAGAGGCAGCTTCGCTGTGGGTTTTTTTTAAATTATTATTTAAAATATATAGGGATCTTTGCCATTGCTGCTGATCTGGAATGCTGCGGGGGAGATCGCAGCCAAGCTGATCCAGAGCAGCGAGAGCAGGGGACGCGGAGGGCGATGAAGCGCCGAAAGCTGGCCGTGGCAGCCGGCTTCTGCCTCTCCTTCTTGCTGGGCACTTTGCTGAACGTCTTGTTCATCCCGGCCTTTGATCCGCAGCAGCAGCAGCAGCGAACGGCGGGCGTCACGCACTCGCTGGCGGGCTCGCCTTCGGACGTGCCGGGGGAGGCTGAGCGCAGCAGCAGCAGCAGCAGCAGCAGCAGCCACGTGTCAGATTTAGCGCAGCAGATCCGGGAGCGCTACGAGGAGGTGCTGCGGTACCAGCGGCGGCAGCACCGGGCGGCGGCGGCGGCGGCTCCGTCCCGGCTGCTGATGAGACCCTTGGAACGGCGGCTGATGGACCTGGCCCCTCGGCGACTCGCCTCGTCCTCCTCTTCCTCGGAGCGGAGCCCGGCCAACCCGAAAGCGCCGCCGGCCGCCCGGGGCACCCCCTGGGAGCCCCGCGCCAAGCTGGAGGTGCCTCTCCGCCCGCTCCGGCTGGGCTGCCGGGACATCAGCAATGTGACCGACGTGCATTACCTGGGCTCCGGCTACACCAAGGCCGTCTACAAAGCTGTGCTCAACCGGAGCCTGGCGGTGGCCCTCAAGTCGGTCGACTTCGGCGGCCACGACATCGACCACTGCGTGAAGCTCTACGGAGCCCTGGAGGACTGCTACCGCCTGGCCTCCTACAAGATCCTCAAGGAGATGATCCTGTTGCAGAGGCTGCGGCACCCCAACATCCTTCAGGTACTGGAAGCGCCCTCTCTTTCTCTCGTCCGCCGCTCCAAGCGAGGCGGGGGGACGCGCAGGGTCTGAAACGGGTTTCGCACAAGAGTGGGGAAATAGGGACCAAAATAGGATTCGAAGTAAAAGCAAAACCGATTCAGCTGCATCTATGAGCGGGAGGGTTGCAGCAGGGCCCCCCAAAAAGAGCACGAGCAAAGAGGCCGTTGCATTATCAGGAGACAGCGTGATTTAGGAAGCCCTAAGAGAGCCGGATTCTCTTGGAATTGATGCCTCCCCCCCCCCACGTGTCAACTCGACGCAGAGGGCCCTTTACCCGTCCAAACAGACCACTGGGCCACGTGCAATCTCTGGCTGGCCTCGCTTCTTCCTCACCCAAGAATAGGGGATGTAGGTGTCGTAATCCTAAAGGGATTTGCTTACATGTAAATCCCCCTCAAGTAAATTGGACTGACTTCGACATAAACGTATTTGGGATCGGGTTACCAGAGGGTTGAAGTCAACAGCCGGTTAAATCCGGAGTATTTTCATGCGGCTTCATGCGAACATTCGTCCGGTGGGGATAAAGATCCCGGAGGACCTCGTAGGATCAGATGCTGAGTTTGTAATCTCGCGGAACTGGCTCCCCCCTCCCCCGTTACACTTAAGTGTTTAATGCCTGTACTGCAAGACAAGTCCCATAGATTTCCGTCGAGTTTTCTTCCAAGTAACTCCACTTATGATCCTGCTTCTAATCCCACGGGGATCTGAGATGTTACTTCAAGGTTGGCTGTTCATGCTTAGATAGTGGTAATACATAGTGCTAAACAGGGTTTACTCTCAGGTAAACGAGCTTTATGATTGGAGCCAAATAGTGTAATCCTAAACAGGTCTCCTCAGAGTCCTACCGGGGTCTACTCAGTGAGGCTTACTCCCAAGAAAATGTTCTCAGGACTGCACGCTGAGTCTTGCTTCAGGGGTTTGGAATCTGGGCCTGTCCCTCAGAGCGGCATCAGTCCTCATAGGGGGGTGGGGAGGATTGAGTCAGGCTTGATCCATGAGTATTGTCATCTTACTGAAAGGGCTGCCTTGGTCAGCACATCTAGACTGCAGATATTCTACTCTCGCATTTAATCCTGGTCTCCAAATAAGCGTGTTTAAAATCGGGAGTTTGGGGGGAAGGGGGAAAGTAGGAAAGCCAGGTTTTTTTAAAAACAACAACAACAATGAATAAAGATGTGAATGGTGCGTAAAGTGAGAGTTTGGAGCAGACTCCTTAAAATCTGGAGATGATGAGCAGATCAGTTTTGGATATATACAGAATTCTTCAGCGGGCAGAATATCTGGCTCCTGGTCCTTTGAGGAAGACCTCAAATAATCTGGGCCAGAAAAAAATTTCCTTTGGCCAAAAGGGGGAGGGGGCAGTGTTCCCTCTAAACTGAGTTAGTCTGAGCTAGCTCACAGTTTTTTAGCCTCCAGCTCACACATTTTTGCCTTTGCTCAGGAAGGATGGATCCAGAGCAAACTAATTTATGCAGCAGCCAAATCGCTCGCTCACAACTGTAATGCCAGTAGCTCACACAGTAGAATTTTTGCTCACAAGACTCCACAACTTAGAGGGAACATTGGCGAGGGGGGTGCAGTTTTTTAGCTCACTCACAGCTTTAATGCCAGTAGCTCACAAAATAGGAGTTTTGCTTACAAGACTCCATATTTTAGAGGGAGCATTGGTGGGGAGTGCCGGGCCTTTTACCTTCACGACAGCCCTGTGAGACAGGATATGGCCCAGGGTGGCCTAGTGAGGTTCATGGCACAGTT